TTTTTTTTTGAAAGTGTTTCATCATCTTGCATTTAAACCTTTCGTAAAATCAAATAAAGGTGCTTTTGAGTAGGCTCTTGCTTGTGACGATAAGTGGACGTTTGCGACAACCTGAGGTGCGCAATTGGTGCTTAAATGCATATTAGGTTGCTTTTGCCATGCAAGCCGGCTGCTCTATAGGAGAAAATAATGGTCGGTGCAATAGTAGTCCGCAAAGGATGCATGTTAAATTTTTTGAAGGCAGTGAAATTGTCTCATTGTGATATGGGATAATAATACCTACGATAGTGAATAAAGTCATCATAAGTTGCTGAAGATAAGATCAATTTAGAGAAAAAGAGATGCCTAGTGCCTGGGACCTTCTCCACGATGTCGCAAACCGCTTGTCTCACAAGTCTTAGCCAAAAACTGACTGTTGAGTTGTAATAAATCATCCCTTCCAAGATAATCAATTGGCTTGCTGCCAACGATCATCTTTTTTTTAAAGGCCATGAGCTGTTTCTCATTAATAAAATTGTTCACAGAGAGGATGTCGAAAACAAGTTTGGAAAATTTCATTTTTATTAATTCATATTGACTTTTTTTGGTTGAATGAGACTTGCATCTCATCGGCAGAAATACGCTCAAATTAGAGAAGGTTTTGCGACAAAGAAAACATTAGCGCTAAAGTTTTGAGCCCTTGAAGTTGAGGCTGCAATTCCATGTTAATAGGTTATAACTGCATTTTTATTACTTTACATCTAAATTTGATTTAAGATGAGCACAACCGTTTCACTGACTGTTAGTGCTCTTTTAGGAAACCATTATTATATAGGTACACGCCTGCCTGGCAATAACTGATACTTTCGTTTTTACTAAATAATTGACTTTACTCAAAGCAGTGCTTTATCATGTCTTACTGAATGTCAATTTTTCGATAACAATCCCTAAAGCTAAATGCAATTCAATTAAAGCTAACCCCCTTTTCGTCCCCTCTATTTCGTATTTAGACGCTTTGGTTCCGTCGCGCTGTTCATTCCAAGGATCGCCTTACCGACTATCCCCTAGATCAGTGTTGGTACTTCCTCTTCCCCATTGGCGGTGGAAGGGTATTAGCAAGGAAGAGCAGCGATTTCACCAATCCACGAACTCCAATAGGTGTCTCTACCAAAGTTGCATGTCTTCCCTCACTCTGTAATACTTGTCATCTTGACTTCCAGGATACCATGATCTCTATCAACCAAAAGTTTCTTCAAATAAGATTTGTATATGTGATGCAGCTGGAAAGCTGATTTCCGAGACTGGCGCTCGGCTTCGCAGGCAAGCAGTATCGGCTGCAGCTGCCCCAAGGAGCTCTTTTTCCGGCAAACGTAAGTTTCGCTGCTAATTCGCTGCCGCCACCTCATCCATCATAGCTATCTTTATACTTTAGCAAACGCAATGGAATGCACCGATATGGTCATAGGATCTGTAGTGAATGGGCGTGGTCGCGTACAAGACTTTTATTCAACTTCTAAAGTGAGTCGGATATTTAGAATCAATCAATGCCACTGCCCAAAATGGTTTACTTTAGGCTAGCCCTCGACCGGATACAGTTTACGGTGGTAAAGACTCTTTGACAGCTGCCTCCGCTTTCAATGAAGACGGTGTTACTACTGTTGTTTTCCGTAAAAAGCTGAGAGGTTGGTTTATTTTTGAAGTTTATAAATGAATTAAAACCTGAATAGAATTTTGTGATATATGTGTAACATATGCATGTCAATTAAGCGATTAAACATAAAATGCAACATCGAATTCTTTTCTGCTATCCGTGACCCTTCAGCGTGGCTCTTAATTTTATGGCCAGCGCAAACTACGCTTGATGCGCGTTAGCACAGCGGTGACACAAATTTCAAATATAGGTCATAAAATCCATACTTAAAAAGCTTTGTGTTGCAAACTTTAATTGCAATCTATTGTAATCCTTTCACTAAGCCCTATAAGGACTTTATCTTTGTTATCGAAAACTCAAAATTCCAAAATTTTCATTCAGCTGACGACGAGTGGGATCATACCATAAATGGGCCAATGACCGTCATCTGGGCTAAAGGTGCTGACCCGAACAACTATCAGCATACCACTGGAGGTACATACCTTAGGTTACTTTGTAGATTTCGTGAACCCTCGCTCCTTATGATTTCAGGCGCTCCAATCCAAGCCGATCCTAACTTCTTCAACAGCAACTCGTTCAAATATCATGGGCGTAATCATCGTGGTGTTCTTACCATCGATTTCCAGGAAGGTACGACATCATTGCTCTAATTGGGTACATAATAAGATTTTTCTCCCTTTTCAGAGAGCAAGAAGGATAAGCTCCACCACGGTCTTCATGTTGATACATCAACCTGCTCAGGAGTATATTCCTTCCCAGCGAATTGTGTGCGCCATGTGACAGAGGAAGATGGAAGAAAGCAATGCAAATATGCTATCACATGGATTAGTGATGGCGAGGTAGCCAGATTTACCGTGCAGGTGAATTTCGGTTCAGTGGATTTGAAGACATGATGTAGACGGTTGTTGTAAACCAGTTCGCACTCATCATAACTTTAAAAAGTTCTGACTTTGAATATTCTCTTGGCAGGCTTTGGCAAAACCATCCGAATGGACCGCAATCGGATTTTCGGCAGATGGAGCCATGGCTGGCTCTGATGTGGTTATAATAGGACTAGGAGGAGCACGAGAAATAACTGTCACCGACCAGTTTATGCCTGGCTACGGGCGACCGATCGTTGATGAGCAACAGGACATCTTCGACGTTGAGGTGCCTTTCATAAACTTCCTGCAAAACTTAATCATCAAAAAATGCCTTTTAGACATCCTACGAAGAAGGAGTTCTTACCGCGAACTTCTCACGTGAACTCTTTAGCGAAGATGAACACGACATTAACCTCCAAAAATGCGTTTATCTCTTATTTACCCCGGCTGGTGGAAAAATTGAGCCCAACGGTGAGATGCGCAAACACGGAGATACCCCGATAGCCAGCAGGACTAAGGTTTGAGCAATTTTGCATAATATCCGACAATATTTCAAAAATCCGCTAGAATTCATGTTTTCTTAGACAGACTCTGATGTCTAAAGTAATGCTGATAGGTTCTAGGTTTGCCTGAACACCTGCTCCGAATTGCCAACTAAAATTTCCACGAAGGCACCAAGTGACAAGAAGACTACCACCAAAGAGTCCACTGAACCAACGACAAGAAAGCCGACAGTTACGCCAAAGACGACAACTGATGTGCAGATGCCACCTGTCATCAAGCCATCACGTGAGCAAATTTAGCATAAGCAAATCTCAAATTGAAAATCTGATTTCATATGATCACAGGCTTTTTCATGGTAGATTTTAGCTCCATTTGTTGTGTTCGAACCTACCGAAGCTGTCAAGTCTCGTTATGGATTGCGTGTTCGTATTCTCAACAAGGATTATACACCTGCTTTGGCTGATCCACAGACGGAATACTATCAGAGCTTCACTAAGACAGTTACTGCAGCTGTAAGTTTCTCATTTCCTGCTTTGCAATAAATTTCTCAGTGCAATTTTTTAGATTAATGATCTTCTGGCAAAGCGATGGAAGGGTATGCAGGTTTCCAAGATTGTTGGTTACTCAAAGGGATCTGTCATCGCTGAATTCGAGGTACTAACTATTCACTTCTAAAATTTGAAAACAGTGCAAAAATATACTATTTGTGCTAAAACGGGGCTTACAGGTGGTGTCAATTGCTGATGTTCCTCGTCCTATCGAAGTGAAGAGCCTCCTTGAAGAAACCGCCATCCGCGGTAACATTGGCGAACTTGCGCTAGAACCAAGTACCATTAAAACTCACGTTATCGGTCAGTTGTAGATTTAAGAAGCCACTTATTCAGTGAAAGTTGAATTCTTTAGAAGACGAACCAGTCGAGGAAGCCGCTCTTGGCAGAGCTTTTGTGAGAAACGTAGTCATTATCGGAGCAGCAGCGCTACTCTTGATTACTGCTGTTGTCTGCACATGCTGTCTTCTCTGTCGAGTAAGGAGAACGTCGCGATTTGTGAGTTTGTTGTTTAGCAGTTCGTATACAGAAAATATTCTAGAGTGCAAGGGGCAGGAAGGGAGCGTTTTTCTTCTTTCGCACTTGTTAATTAACTTTTAAGATATAAATATGTACTATCAAAGGGAAAAAGAGGAAATTGGAGAAAC